AACACATATTTTTGAACGAGTACGTAATAGAACTTTTTTTTTTTTATAATTTTTTTTTTTTTTTAATTTTTCTGGAGAACTGTTTCTGCGAATGTTTTGTTTTTAATGGGCCTTTTGTAGAATTTTGCAAAGGTTTTCGATTTTTCGGACCAGCCTGCTGCTTTTTTAATTGTACTTATGTCCAAGCCTAAATCCCAGGCTTTTGAAGTTGTGGCATGGCGAGTGCTGTATGCCGTGTATTCTTTTCCTATTCCTGAATCTTGCATCACGTTTTTTAGCCATCTGCTAATTGTCTGCGTGCCTATTTCTTTATGAGGCTTTCTTAGAGAGATGAGGAGAGTTTTTGTTGTTCCTCTTAAATCCTTTGTTTTTTCGATGTAAATTTCTATTGTTCTTGCTACGCAGAGGTCGTTATTTTCAAAATAAGGGAAGAATGCGTAGGGTTGTTCTCTTCCAGCCTTGGAGGTCTTGGTTAAGTCCGATATTCTTATTTCTACGCCCGTGTATTTGATTTTTATATCTTTTAATTTAATTAAAGAGATTGACTGTATCCTGAAGGCGGAGCCAATAGCCAAAAGCATGACTAGCTTGTAGGAAAGTTTTGGTAACTCGAGGGGATCCAATGGTCTCCAGCTTTCGATGTTTTCGAGGACTGTATCAATGTCCCAAGTTGTTTGGTACTTTGGGGCTGTAGAACGCAATTTGTAAATTCCTTTGAAGAAACGGTTGATTAAAGAACTGTCTGAGGTGTTGGTGCTGTTTATCAGATTAATTGCTGACCTTAAAGTGTTTAAGGTTCCGTAAGCCGCGCCTTGTGAGAAGTATTCCGTCAGGCATCTGAGAATAATGTTTTCGTTAGAATTGAAAGGATCCTGGGATTCTTTTTCACAGAAATTCCACCAATATTTTAATGATGTGTTATATTGCTTACGAGAGCTTTCCGCTAGTGATGAGACCATTATCCCGATCGTGTTTTCGTCCAGGTTCTTTTTCTTGTATGTCCTCCGTAAACAATCCCTGATACCAGGATAAGATCCTGTGCAAGAGGGTGCACCATTTCCCTGCAAGGAGAGAGAAGGAGATTATTAGATGGGTTAAATTCTATTAGGTCTGAGACCAGCATTCTTTTGAATTCGGGGAACCAGGGATGACTGTACCACAAGGGTACGACTAATATCCCCTTTGAGCCCTCTTCCCGGATTTTTTTCAGGATTCTTGTAAGGAGGGAAAATGGCGGAAAAGCGTACCAGAATTCGCTTTTCCAATTAATAGTTAGTGCGTTAATTGCCATGGCTTCTGGGTCTCTGTCCCATGAGCAATACCTTGTGCATTTGGAGTTTGTTCTGCTTGCGAATAAGTCAATTGTATGAAATCCGAATTTATTAACTATTTTTTTGAAAGCGAATTCTGATAATTCCCGTTCCGTGTCGGGGTTGGAAATTCTAGAAGGTTCGTCTGCCGGATTGTCGTTCGAGGCAACATACTCCGCAAATACCCATAATTTTCTCGTTATGCACCATTCCCACAGTTCTCTTGTTATGTAATTTAAATCTTTGTGTTTAGTACCCCCCATTTTATTAATATACGCTAGTGCTGTGATATTATCGATTCTTAGTAAAATTTGTTTTTTGGATTCCGAGGAGACGAAGCATTTTAATGCGAGAACGGCTGCTTTTATTTCGAGGTTATTTATGTGTTTTTTTCTTTCTGCGTTGATCCAAAAACCCCCCGTTTTTTCGTTTTTGTAAGTTGCTCCCCAACCGGTTTTCGAGGCATCCGAAAAAATTTCCATGTCAAAATTGCTGTGTCTGATTTTATTTTTTGCTTTTAAAATTTGCGAATCCCACCAGTTTAGTTCTCGTAACGCGTCACTTGTTAGTGTTAGTCGGGTGTTCGGGTTATTTTGTGGGTTATTTAACGCGAGCCTTTTGATTTTTTCTAATTCTTTGTAGTAAAGCCAACCATACGCGATCCCAGGACACGCCGCCACCAATACCCCTATGTATTCTTCGAGATTTGCTAATTTGACGTATTCCGCAAACAATAACTTGTTAGTCATTTTTTAAATTTTTTCGCGTTTTTCTTGTGGGAGTTCGATAGTCATTTTTTCTGAATCGATGATCATTCCCAGAAAACGACACCGCTTTTTGGGGATCAAATCACTTTTTTTCCAACTTATTAAGAAGCCGAGCGAAGTTAAAAGTGAAATAGTTAATTCCGTGTCCTTGAGGCAATTATCGTAAGTTTCACCGAATATTAGGAAGTCATCAAGGTATATTACCACCTTGACTCCCTTTTTTCTTAACTAATTTACCAGTTGTTTGCCGATTTTAGTAAATACGAAGGGGGCCGATGTTAATCCGAATGGTAATGCATTAAATTGGTAAATTTTATTATCGTATTCGAATCTGAGGTATTTTTTATCTTCTATATCAATTGGGACCATAAGGTACGCGTCTTGTAGGTCTAGTCTGCACATGTAATCGTCTGTGTCTAGTAAGTTCATGGCCGTTCTGATGTCTTCGATTTTAAAGTGTTCTTTAAAAATAAACTTGTTCAGATTTTTTAAATTTAAGATGAATCGTAATGATCCTCCCCGACCCACTTCCTTCCTGATCGTGGAGCTCCTCCAGTTTAAAGCGTTGATGTTAGGTCTTAGAGGGAATTTCGATTTTGACTTGAGGTCTTTTGAGACCTTTTCCATTGCCTTTGATGTTTCGATCAACCCTTTCATGTTGTCTCCAAATAGCCACTCGGTCGGTTCTGTTTTCTTGAGAATTTTCTGCAGTTTTTCATCGTAGCGGCCAATTATGAAGGTTTTTCTCGCTAGAGTCAAGTTCCCGAATAGGTTTGCCAAAATTTTGGTGATGCTTGATAAATTTTTGAGAATGTCCTCTCTCACGAGTGGAACCGCTTGGTCATTCAAGATGTCGCTGAATAATACCGCTGCAGCTGAAAGGGCCGCTCCAGTGAAATTTTGGTATTCCTTTAAGTAATCGTCGCGAGAACCCGCTTTCGGATGGAGATCTACAGAGATTTCGTCGTTTAATGCTGGAGCTTTTAATTTTAATTGATCGATTTCGGGCGTGAGAGATAATAGTTCCTCTTTTTCATCTTTTTTCTTTGAGGTTTCTTTGATCCAGATTTTAATTCGAGACGCCAAGTCTTCCCGAATTGTTCTCACTTGTTGGTCTTGTAGTGGATTGGAACCCAAGTAAAGTGACGCTTCATCCAATAGATTGTCGCCATTTTGTTCCTCTGTTTCAGCGATTTCGCCGTCTTTTTCCAGTTCGGGTTCTATCAATTCTATTTCCTCGTTTTCTTTTTCCCAATCTTCAATATCTATGGGAAAAAAGAAATTTTTATGAGGTTTTGCCTTGATTTTATAATCAGGGCGATTTTTTATAGTTCTTGTCTTCAATTCGAGAGAGAAGATCTGAACTTTGCTTGGCGTTACGTTCCCAATTCTAGATTGGGAATCCGCCTTTTTTTGTGTGATTGAGAAAGGCACTTTTGCTTTTTTTGTTCACTAGACTTACCTTGTATTTCAAGATCATCCTCTAATTTTTCTAATTCCTCCATTTCAGCGAAGACGAGATTTTGTTCCTCCTCTAGTTGCTGAAGCCTTTCTTTCAAGAATAATTCTTTTTGTGCTTTGCTCATTTTCGTGTGTGATCGTCACCGACGCCAAGAAACGAATGAAGCACGAAAGGAAGGAAGCCTGAGAGCAGGAAGGAAAGAGGGAGCTCTTTCAATTTAAAAAAAAAAAATCTGAAATGTGGCGTCACCTATCGACAAGTCGCGGTACTACCTAGTAAAATATATCTTCGAACAAGTTCGATGAAATATAATTCGCCTTGTGTTATACATCCTACTAAATAAAAATTTGTACGTCTTTAATTTATATTGTTTATTCATCTCTTTTATTGTCAGTGTTAAAAAATACAAAATTTTTCATAAGTGTTTTTATTAAACAAACTTTTTTAAAATTTGAAGCAAATGTAATTTAAATTATTTGCAAACGATTATTCTAACCTCAATTTTTCTCTTTTATTTCCTGTAATCAAGATTGTTAATAATACAAGCTTTTTAAACTATACAATTGTTGTAATTTATTTTTCGTTAATTTATTAAGTTTTATTTAATTAGTTTGAAAACTAAGATAATGAAAAAAAAATGTAGTTAATTGTCATTCTTGTACACCCTGAACATAAACGTATATATTGAAGGCAAAATATTTACTTGTAGAAAATTACATAAAATTTATCAAATTAATGTTTTAACATATTTTTACAATTAATAGTTAAATATTTATTTTATTTGTGGTGTTATTAATTTTTTTTTACAAATTTCTGAAAAATATTTTGTATGTAAATGTATATTTATTTTTAGGTATTTGCTCCAAAAGAAAAACTTTGTTAAAAACTGCTGTGCCTTCGCTAAATTTGCCGACTTCTACAGTGAATACAAAATTTTTGTCTTCAAAGAAGAAACGAGAAAATGATGCGAGAAGCCAAAAAGTCATAAATCGTTCTAAAATTGAAATTAATGACAAGGAGGTTGTTTCGAATTCTTTGAGCGAAATTGAGTTTATTGATCCAGTTGTTAAGGAGGAAACGAATAATTCAAATGAACCAACTACTTCCAAATTTGTTGATGTGGGCGTGCAAACAGACTTGACTTTTTTTTGTGGCGAAACCGCAGAAATCGGAATTCAAGTCAAAAGCGGAGATTTGTGCAGTAATAATTCGTTTGATGATGTCGTTTCCGATAAAGATTTAAGTACCTTAACTGGCATTGAAAAAAATTAAATATTAAACGGTCTGATTGAAAGTGTGAAACTTGTCGCACCTCGTTTTCAATTCTACATTGCAAAGTTAACAAATCGTCAAAGAATAATAATGTGTTTTATGAAACTGAAACACAATTTGAGTTATTCGTTAATAGCACTTTTATTCAAGTCTTGTTCTGAGAGACACTGCCAAAATGTGATTTTAAGCATGATTGATATTTTGGACGAGGTACTTGAATCTGCGATCGATTTTCCGACAAAGGAAGAAATAGATAAAAATTTACCAACATGTTTCGAAGATTTTAAAACTACTCGAATTATTCTCGATTGCACAGAAATCAATATCCATAAACCGAAAAATCTTTGTTGCCAGTTAAGAACGTATTCTTTTTATAAAGGGACAAACACCGCCAAATATATGACAGGTGTCACACCTGGAGGTTTGATTTCTTTTCTAAGTAAAGGGTACGGTGGAAGAGCGTCGGACAAGGCTATTTGTGAGCAAAGTGGTTTATTAGAATTGATAGCACAGGACAAAAATAAGAGTATTATGGTCGATAAAGGATTTTTGATAGAAGGAATCTGTCGCGATTATGGAATAAAATCAATTCGTCCGCCATTTGTAAAAAATAAGAAACCGTTTTCCGAAGAAGATGCCTTAAATACATGTAATATTGCCAGCGCACGAGTTCACGTAGAAAGAGACAATCAGAGATTAAAAGTTTTCGATATTTTAGGATCGAGAATGCCATCGTGCCTTGTGCCAAAATCTGACAAAATTATGAGAATTTTATGTGCCATTGTAAACTTAAGTTCGCCGATTTTACGAGATAATAAATTTTTTAATAATGATGAAAATTCAAACAATTCCGATAATGACAAAAGTCATCCTGATTTGTAAATGTTAATAATAAACAAATTATTTGGTATCATTTTATTTTACTTATTTTGTAAAACAATAAAATCTATAAAATCATAAACATTTGTTTTTATTTATAACTGCTCCTGAAGACATACGTTGTGAATCATTTTGTAAAAATAAGCCTTTTTTAAAGTGGGCAGCATTTTCTTTAAAAACTCGGCATCAATGTCAACTGTTATTACTTCGAAGCTGCCATCATACGTAGCATAAACAATAAAATCTGTTCTTTTTAAATTTAAAATTGACATACCAAGTTGAACCTGTCCGTAATATTTGTGTTTCACTTTAAAAGTGCGATCAGATTGGTTTATGTATTTTAAAGTCTTTAAAATATCTCCTGCTGTCATTTCCTTTCCGTTATAAGGACATTTAATTTCTATTAATTTATATGGTTTTCCATCTCCTGAAAGGGTCACTCCATCCGGCGAATATCCTAAGTACGGATTTTCAAGTGGAACTACCAATCCAAGTTTTACTACTTTTGTTCCGTATTTCACCTCATATGCTTCACGTGCATGAGGTTCGTTGTCAATCCCGTGTAAAACAGGAGTAGAGTAAAAATAATTCAGAGACTTATTTTTCCAATCAGCTTTCTTATTATTGTAATATGTGAATATTTCGTAGCAACGAGAACCAGTGATTCGAAATTTTCTATTTTCTTTCCAAACACGTTTATTGTCAAGAGTTGATTTACAAATATGAATAGGATCGCCACTCAATCGACTATATATACTTTCGCAACATGGATTTAAATTTTCATCAAGTTGAATTTCTGATAACATGTGCATAAATGTTGAAGTCTCATTATTTAAAATGATTTCTAATTCTATTAAATTGATCGAATTATCATTATTATTACCATCTGTAACTTGAGACAGAGGTTCATGTCGACCACACCTAAGATGCCAAAAATAAATAATAAATTTAGGTACATATGTTAATTAATAAATTACAAATTAATTTTCTTAATAATTATAAAAGCTGAGACTTCATAGAAATATATCAAAATGTATATGTCGGTTATAGTGGAGATGGTAAAATTTGATTAATTATTGTAAAGAAAAATTCGTAGATCATATAATAAAAATCATTTGTAAAAAATAATAAAATATTAACAATTATTCGTAGATCATATTGTATAAAAGACGCAGTCTGGTAAAAATCACTTGTAAAATAGAAAAAATATGAACAATAGTTCGTAGATCGCACGTAATAGTCGCAGTATAGTAAAAAAAATTTATAAAAAAGAGAAAAAACCATGAACACAAGTTTGTAGATTTAAGAATTAAAAAAAATCAATTTCCCAAGAAATAATATTCGTTGAGCAATTTTATAAATATTTATACGTCAAATGGATTACTGTTAGAATAAAATTATTTATCCGTACTTGTGTTTTGCCAACGCCGAATCCGGATTACAATTTAACAATAAATTTCTGATAATTTCTTTCGTTTCATTTGACACTGAAACTGGATACGACTTTTTAAACTTTTCAATATTACATTCGTGATCTTCTAGTGGCACAGCCTCATACTGCTGCAAACAAAGTTTTTGAGGATAATCCCATAAACATTTCTTATCCGTACAGGAAACAAAGTCCAGTTCTTCAGTGTCCTTACTAAAATAAAAGTATTGAATATAAAAAACCACATTTTCTTAACAATTTTAAAAACTACTTATAAGACTGTTAAAAGACAAAGCTGATAATAAATTAAAGGTAACAGCCAGAAAATAAAAAAATTCATAAATGAATTAAATATAGAAAAAACTACCATTTATTTATAAATATTTGAAATTCCAATTTGAATGCTTGATAATTATAATACATAAAAATCTGTTTATAGAAATTTCGACAAAATAATAAACTTTTTATTTATGTTAATTTTTTTTATTGTAACGTAAAAACTTTCTGAAAATATCTTTATAATTAACAAATTAACAAATTAAATTCTCTCCTTCGGCTTCTTTTCCACAAAAGAGAACATGTCCTGCTTGGAAGATTTTTTCTCCTTCGATAAAATTTCTTGTCGTCGGCGTTGCGTTTGCAAACGCACATACATCAGCTAGATTTAGCTTCATTCTATTTTTCTTCTGCCAATTTGGTTTTTCAATAATTTATTTCACTATTTATTTCACTTAATTAACTTATCACGCACAATAGAAATGTCTACAATCTACCTGTTAACGGAAGTCATTTTGAAACGTCACTTACTCTGTGACGTCACGATTTCAGATCCCAATATATATGGAAAAATTTTTGCAACCTTGCATCAACCTTGCAGCAGGCTTGTCACGCAAGCTTACAGGGCAATCTTGCGTGAATCTTACCGTGCAAACTTGATGTAAGATGGCAGTTAAAACTTGCAACAAGCTTGCAGCAAACTTGCGGTGAAAGCTTGCAAAAAGTCATACATTTACAACTTGCAGCAAGTTAGCTACAAACTTGCGTGCAATCTGGGATGTGTTCCGGATCCGGGAAGATAGTGTCAAAAATGTTTTGCTGTTACTTTTGGCACTTGCGTTACTTCCTGGGAACCGAATACAGAATGCTTACAATTCTATTGGAATTGAGATAGGTCCCAAAATTTTTGAGCAAATTGAAATGTTCAATGATGATTTCGGTGATAATTGGATAGAAAAGGTCAAACCTTTCTTTTCTCATGTTATGGAAATTATCACGCAATCACCGATGCATTTCAAACATATTCCACTTGGCTCAATGCAAAATGTGGGAATTTTGTTGATGACATTTGGTTATTTACGAGTAAGTGATACATTATTATCAGGATTTAGATTGTACGAATTTTTTATTAATATAAATAACATTATCTTTATTTATATTATATTTTTAATTATTTTGTTGTCGCCGTAAGAAACAACTAATAATATTATTTTTGTGAGTTGGTTACTCAACTGAGAACAAACTCTACTTTATTTATTTAACAAGCAAAGTACAAAAACTTGGAGATAATCAATCCTTCCAAAGCTTCACTGAGTCTTTTTGGAAGACAATTTACTAACCGTGCTATTACTTTGAGTAGCGACTAATTAATCTGACCACACCTGCTTATGCATTAGTTTTAAAGAACTGTGCAATAGTCCCCACTCTTTACAATGCACACTCATACTTCATACTGTCGACACCTCCCCCCTTTAAACTATCGATGATTTTCAAATTAACATTTATTTAAAAATTCGATGCAGGTTTCCTTCTAGGAGGTTTCGAATGTAATTCAAAATTTAATCCTGGTAGATTTTTCTCAGTAGCTACAAACTGCGTTGGACCTGTATTGTTAAAACTACGATTTGTATAACAGTTCCCAATACAATATCTTATTAAATTTAAAATACACTGTATAATTCCCGTTTTAAACATTATATAGAAGATTATAATTACAATACTTGCATATCCTATGTACTCTAAATACGTCAAAAACTTTTCTGTCCAACTCTTAAATCTTTCATGTGTCTTTAATTTATCTAGCATCGCTTCGGTATCTTCCATACTAATTTTCGCTTCTTTTATTCTATCTAAATTAAGAAATCTTAGTAATTTTGGTAATTTATCATTAATTAATTTTAAATCGTCTTTCTCAAAATCTAATTCTATTGTGATTTTATCCTCAAAGTATCTACTTATATTTTTCATCGGTTTATTAAGATCTAGCTTTATTTCATTCGTATATAGCTTACATCTATTCCCTGTTATTAGATAAGTACCCAATTTTTTACCATTATAATTATTATTTTCGCATACTATATCTATAACTGTTTCTTTTACAAATATACATATATAACCTGTTTCTGTTTTCATAAATGTTTCATCGCTGAGTAGTAATGGAGATTTTAGACAATTTCTGTTAGACATTTTTATTAAATCCGCGTCACAATTTTCTGTTTGATATATTAAATAATTCGGTTGATTTCTCTTACAAATTTTATAGTCTTCTATATTACTACATTTTTCTAAATCTGTCTTGTCAATCGGTACGTATTCAGTTTTCGTTTGCAAAATATATTCGTGGTTTGGTAAAAACACCATAGCTTGACCATTAATTATTCGTTCTGGAATTGGTAAACTTCTTACTATTGTCATTTCTTTTTCATCTAAAATCGGAATTTTAATTATGTATACTAAGTGATGATTTTTTATAATTGTAGTAATTTCACTAATGTCTATAATATGTTGATAGTTTCTTTCATCGCTTTCGATGTGATATTTAGTCCTAAATTCCTTTTCAAATCCATCAATTGTTTCATGCAACATTCTAGGCATTAAAATTTGGGGGTTTATAATTCCATGCTTCCCTAAATTAATTGAACTTATTGCTAAATCTATGTCGTCGTTCATTTCTTCTATTAACGTTTCAGCTATTAATAATTTTTGTTGAATAAACAAACTCTTTTTGTTATTATTTATTTCTGCTTTCATTTGGTTTAGTATATCGTAGTCTGCTACAAGTTTATTTTGTAAGAACTTATAATCTTGAGATGATGAATCTAAGTCCATTTTTATTACTTTAGTATTGTTTTTAATTGCTTCATTTAAGACCTTATTATCGTTATATAATTGATCGAATTCTTTATTAATTATATTTAAATCTGAATCGCTTAATGTGCCAAATAATATTTTTGATGCGTCTCCTATTACATTTAAAAGTCCTCTTTTAACTCTTTGTTTACCCATTATGTTATATAATAGTGATTCCTTTTTTCTTAAACGACTAAATCTAGAAGAGATAGTTTTAATTTCGTAATTTTCTTGACATTTAGTCATGCAAAGATGACTAACCTGCGTTAACACTTTTTGAATAATGAACGCGAACGAGCCTATTTAAAATTTTTTTTTTTTTTTTTTTTTTTTTTTCTTCTCGTTCGGAATATTAAATTAGGTTAATAAATTAAATAAGCACATAAATAAATTACAATAAAGTTTATTTGTCACTCCACATAATTTTATGAACAAATTAAACTTTCTT